CCTTCCTTCCTTTCCTTCTTCCTTCCTTCTCTTCTGTCCTTCCCTCCCTCCCTTGCTTCCTTCCTTCTGGTGTGTCCATGGGCAGCATCTGCACTGTTGAATTATCAGAGGATCAATAGCAATAGACTTATATACCGCTTCCCAGGGCTTTCCAGCCCTCTCTAAGCGGTTTACAGAGTCGGCCTCTTGCCCCCAACAATCTGGGTCCTCCTTTTACCCACCTTGGAAGGAGGGAAGGCTGAGTCAACCTGGAGCCTGGTGAGATTCGAACGACCAAATTGCAGGCGGTTGGCAGTCAGCAGAAGTAGCCTGCAGTACTGCACTCCAACCACTGCGCCACCGCAGCTCATTAGGGGCCCAGTCCGGTATAAAAGAATCCAGTGAGATGCCTGGGGGAGGAAGGAAAATCTCCAGAGGTGACGTTTTTTCAGCGCATCTCTAGGTTTCCAGGACGTCTCGGCCGGCTTCTTTTAAAAAGTCAGGTGCTTCCAGGTGTGCAGGAATGGACAATCGAGAGCCACAAGCCCCCAGGAGCTTCTCGGCCTTTTTACCTCTCCCAACCACCTCAGCAGGTTATGTCTGCTTAGGTAAGAGAAGCCGAAGGCTCGGCTCACGGGAGCCTTTGGCTCTTTCCTCCTTCAAGGTTCGGATATGGGAAATCCCCGACGGAGGCTTGAAGCGCAACATGACCGAGGCTGTCCTGGAGCTCTATGGCCACAGCCGGCGTGTGGGCATCATCGAGTGGCACCCAACCGCCACCAATATCCTGTTCAGTGCTGGGTATGACTACAAGGTAAATGGGTAGCCCTCCTGAGGGGTTGGGATGTTCTTCAGGGCAAACATCGTGGGCCTTTTGTGAGTTTGGTTAAGGCTAAGGAGCAAAGATGCTATCAGAATTTAAATGGCCAAGTGTGATTGGATGCACAAGGAATTTGTCTTGGTGCAAATGCTCTCAGTGTACGTAAAATAAAAGAGACATTAATCAAGAGTCAAGAATCATGAGGTACAATACTTAATAATAGTCATAGGGTACAATAAGAATAGAATAGGAATAAGAATAGAATAGAATAAGAATAGAATAGGAATAGGAATAAGAATAGAGTAGAGTAGAGTAGAATAGGAATAGGAATAAGAATAGAGTAGAGTAGAGTAGAATAGGAATAGGAATAGGAATAAAAATAGAATAGAATAGAATAGAATAGAATAGAATAGAATAGAATAGAATAGAATATAGAATGGAATGGAATGGAATAGAACAGAACAGAATTCTTTATTGGCCAAGTGTGATTGGACACACAAGGAATTTGTCTTGGTGTAAATGCTCTCAGTATATACATAAAGAAACGATACGTTCGTTAAGAATGTTCTGAACCATCAAAATATTCAAAATACCTTAAATTAAAAACAGGCAACGTTGCGCCCAGTCACACCTCTCTTTTCCAGAAGCATGAAAGCAGGAGTGGGATTCGGCCGGTTCGGGCCGGTTCGAGCAACCCGGAGGTGAAATTTACATCGGGTTCATTGAACTGGTAGTTGAACCGACCGGCTGGCCTCACCCGCCCTGCCCCTCCCCTCCCAGGAGTCTCCACGCAGCCCGTTTTGGATGCAGGGAAGTGTAGCGTCCGCGTGGAGGCTCTGGGAGGGCCAGACGTCTGGAAACGGGCCTGTTTCCAGCTTCCAGGGGGCTTCTGGAGTCTGGGGGAGGCCGTTTTCACCCTCCCAGAGGCCCAAGGGAAGCCTCTGGACCCCGAGGAAGGTGAAACACGGCCCTCCTGAAAGTTCGGGCAGGCCATGTCCACCCAGAGAACTGGTTGTTGGGATTTTTGCATTCCATCCCCTGCATGAAAGTAACTCGGCCTTCCGAGGGATCTTGGGAAAAGCTGGCTTCTTCTCTCTTGATTTCCCAAAAGGTTGACCAGAAGATACCAAATGATGAGGAGCTGGATTTACTTCCTCGTTTACTCCATGGTTTTAACTGTAGCAGGAGAGAGAGGACGTTGAAGTCAGATTTCTGTGAGATATCTGTGAGCAAGCCAGAGCAGTTTCTCTTTGATCTGTGTCTTCTTCTCCTTCTCAGGTCCTCATCTGGAACTTAGACATTGCTGAACCGGTGAAGATGATTGATTGCCACTCCGATGTCATCCTTTGCATGTCCTTCAACACAAACGGCAGCTTGCTCGCCACCACTTGCAAAGACAGGAAGCTACGGGTCATTGAGCCACGTTCAGGCAAAGTCCTCCAGGTGGGAGCTCCTTCCAAGGGCCTAGACAGACAAGATGCCCAGGAGTTCTGGCCACCTGACTAGGTTGTTTGAAACAGCCACCAATGAGGAATGATGGCTGGTGTTGATCACAGTGGTGGATACGGAAGAGAAGGGCATGTAATCTTGTCGTTCAGATCTTTCTTCCCTGCCTAATTGCTAGACCAGGGGTCCCCAAACTTGGCAATTTTATGACTTGTGGACTTCAACTCTGGGAATTGAAGTTCACAAGTCTTAAAGTTGCCAAGTTTGGGGACCTCTGTACTACACCGTCAAAAGAAGAACAGTTTCAGTTTGAGGCAGGGGCATTTCAGGTTAATGAAATAGTTGAAGGAAAAATACCTTTACTGTTTATAGCTTAAAAGAAAATATAGATGGATTCCTCTGGGTTAAATTAAACAGCTTTAAAATTTAAAGCTGGCATTGGATGCAACCACAGGCCGTTCCTAGGTTTTGGAAGCGGACTGTGCACAGGCGATCTGAATAAGTCAGTAGAAAAGAAATCAGAACAGCCCCAGCTGCCACTTTGTGGGTGGGGGGCTCCTTGCAGTCCCAGTTTCAACTGTGGTCCATGGATCTGTCACTCAAGAATCTGAGGGCCCCCCAAAACCACGGACGCTGCCGCACTCTGCACCAGCTGAAATGGCTAACTTTGGTAGAGAAAACCAAGATTTCACTGCATCGTATAATGTCAAAGAATTAAAATGTTGCTTTAATTATTTGAATTATGCATAGCATGGGAGGAAATTGTTTTAAGATCTGGGAATTTAGAATGGCATTTTTGGGGGAGGTGATTCTCCCACCCACCCATTCCAACAAAGGAGTCACCAACTTTCTGAGTCAATCGTGTGATCGTTTTCGTAGGAGGCAAGTTGCAAGAATCACCGTGTGAACCGTGTGGTCTTCTTAGGGAACATCAAGAGGCTTCTAACAACTGGTGTGTCGCGCTGGAACACCAGGCAGATTGCTCTCTGGGATCAGGTGAGGAGAATGGTTGCATGCTTGTGCATGCGCGTGCAAGGTGCTAAGGTCCAACAAAACAAAACAAAAAATCTCCTTTTACAACAGCATTGAAGAGAAGGACTTCTGGTTGCCTCTTTCTTACTTCTCCAACAGAGTTGTGAAAGAAGGGTGAGCTCAGAGTAGCAACCACCAGAAGCATTTCCTGCAAATGATTTTATCTTTTCCCCATTTGGGTTGTAGCTCAATATGTTAAGGAGTGCAGTGGCTCACAGGGTTAGAACACTGGGCTGAGGATCAGCACCTCATGTTCGAAACCCATTGCTATCGTGGGGCAGGTTGAGCTCCCACCACGTTGCTTCAGCTCCTGTCGACCCAGCCATAGGGTCAACTTCACAGGGACACCGAAGGGTCTGGTGACCCCCGGGTGATGGTGATGTCACCGACAAATCCTTTCTCCACGGAAGAGCTTCAATGTTTCTGACACAGGAGTACTAGTAATAGCTTAATGTATTGTGTGAACTTAGCACTTTGTAAAACGTGAGGTTGTGGCTCTATGAGTGTGCCTGAACCTCATATTATGGGTTAGTCAACAACCCCATAATTAAGCAGGCCATAGCTTATTGCTGTGTATGAGCTCAACTAACATGCAGAAGGCGCTGTGGAATTCTATTGTTTGTTTATTTATCATATTTATATAGTGTACAATTAAAAAAAACAATAATAAAAAGGCTAATTAAAACATCAACAATTAAAACACAATCTAAGTTACCCAGTAATGGTACACTCAAGGGAATCTGTGTTATGGGCAGTGCAGTCGCCTCACTAATTCCCCGCCACCCTAAGGCTCCGGGCCTGTTGGCACAACCCTGTTCTAATGGATTCCTGAAGGATATCAGGGGTAGAGCCAATTTCACCTGATGATATTTCCCAGAGCAGGACCCATGGCAGAAAAGACCGGTGTCCTGGGCCCTGCCAGGTGTAACTCTTCCACAGATAGGATCCACGGCAACCTCTTCTTCTGGATCTGATGGGACAGAGGTATTCCCTCGAATGACCTGGTACCATACCAGAGGTGGCATTCAGCTGGTTCTGACCTGTTCTGGAAAACAGGTTGCGGAAATTTTGAGTAGTTGGGAGAACCGGCCACTTCTGACTGGCCCCGCCAACCCCATCTCTTCTCTGCCTCCCATTGAGTCCCAGCTGGGTCTCCTTTGGTTGCCCTGCACAGGAGAAGGGAGCTGGAAAGCAGGTGAATGGGGTGGGGAGGGAAAGGGGATTTTGCGGTATCCTTCCCCTGCCACGACCGCCAAGCCACGCCCACAGAACTGGTAGTAAAATTGTTTGCATCCCATCACTGCACCATACAAAGAAGGATTTCATAACCAGCCCCTTGATTTTAACCTGGAAGCAAACTGGCAGCTCAGGGAGAACAGGTGCCACTCTGGAGACCCACTAACTGCCCGTGCTGGAACGTTTTGCGCCAGCCGAAGCTTCCAATAAACCTTTCAAGGAATTAATGTGATCTTCGGGTTTAGCATTTCTCTTGAAAGTGAAGTTGCATCAGTTGCACCCAAACTGACGAAATATTTGCTTGTTTGTTTTGCATTCACCCCAGGAGGATCTGTCCATGCCACTGATAGAGGAAGAGATTGACGGATTATCAGGCCTTCTCTTCCCATTCTATGATGCCGACACCCACATGTTATACCTGGCTGGCAAGGTACATATGAGGCCTGCTTCTGAACACGTGCTGGCATTGCATGTGGTGCTCTGCAAACGTCCAGATTGGCCGGGAGGGAAGCACATACACATTAATACTCACTCCAAATTGTGTTCATTCCACTAGAACTGGGGACCAAAACCTACCTGCAAAGATCTCATGTGAAATTTTCATTTATTTAGACAGAGACCTATCTTAAGCATTTGGGGGTAACAGGTTGTCCATCCCTGATCTAATGCGCCAACGTTTAAATATGGTTTATAGATTGATATTATGTACATGCGTTCCTAGAATTAGTTTTGTAGAGATTCATGCAACTTGTCTTCTCTGCCTTTAACGTCTTGAGGGAATGTTTTGAGCAGATAAGTTAGGTGAAACTAATAAGGTCATGTAAAGTCAAGAGAGACCAATTCACTGGTGCTCAGTCTTGGCACGTTGAGTGAATTGTGGGCAGAGTTAAATGTGTCGGAGAGAGCTCTTGCTGTAAATGGGCTGACTTTTCATTTACTTCACTCTGTTGATGCTCACTCTTAGGGAACTGTTTCAGGCAAATATCCACCATTTAATTTAATAACAAATTAAATTTGTTTGCCATCCATCTTGCTGCAAGGCAACGTAATGGAAGGAATATGTCTTTGGTCCAGAGAGACAGAGAAGGAAGTATTGAGGACCTTCTCCACCAAGTGGAACGATGTAACCCATCTGGATCGGGGTCTTCCTCAAAGTGAAGCCGGGCTTTAAAAGCAGAGCTCAGAAATAGGGGTATACCTAGGCCACCCCCACCCCTGTTTTCTGACAGGCATAACATTTAATTGAACCTGGCCTGTTTAGTGATAAAGAACACTTCTTTAAGTACTTTTCAGGGATAGTAACTTCTTATCACCCAGTCTTGATTTCTCTCTCCTAAAATGAAATACCTCACAAAACTGCTGTGAGGAAAAATGACCTTCTAAAGGAAGCGGCTACACACCTGTTGACAACATTGACCAATGGATGCCTGGCTGTGAGTTCCAATTAAAAAAAAATGTGTTCCGCTTTTTGGATTCTCCACAGTTCTTCATTTCAAACAGCAGAGCCTGAGAGCACACAAAAGCTTGCAACAGATAGTCTACTACTGTCCCAATAATGGTCTTGTCTGATTACAGATGTCATCTTCTCACCATCCAACCAATCTGTCGTTTCTTATAAATCAGAGGTCTCTAAACTTGGCAACTTTAAGACTTGTGGACTTCAACTCCACAAGTTGAAGTCCACAAGTCTTAAAGTTACTAAATTTGGAGACCCCTGTTATAAATGAATTCATAACGTTCAGATGGTGCCTTTGATTTACTTCTCCTCTTCTTCTTCTTCTTCTTCTCCTCCCTCAGGGAGATGGGAACATCCGATACTATGAAATCAGCACTGAGAAGCCATACCTAACCTACCTAATGGAGTTCCGTTCCCCAGCCCCACAGAAAGGGCTTGGTAAGGGGTGCTTATTGTCTTTTGTCTGAGATACAGAGGGGTGGGGAAATCACCCGTAGTCCTTCTGCTACAGCTCCCCAAAGGTCTCATTCCCCTGAAGAAAAGGAAATATGTAGCTCAGGGTTGAACTGTGGAGTTCCTGGTGCTCACTTGCACGGATGAGGTGACCTGTTTGGGCAAGGAATCATCTGCAAGCAAGCAGCCAGGCCCAGACAGCATCGAGGACTCCACAGTCTCCTCCTTCTGTCCCAATATATTTCACCAAAGTCATTCCCGAGCTCCTGTTCTTTCAGTCAGGGATTTTCAGAGCTTCTCTCTCACCATGTTTTCCCAGTTTAATTTTCCAATCTTTTATCTTTCCTGGCTTTATCCCCACTTCCTTCCCACCCCAACAGGTTTGGCAATTCTCAAGATTTCCTTTCACTGTTGTGGGACTGGTTCAGAGCTGGTCTTCAGCAGGTTCTGACCAGTTCTGGAGAACCGGTAGCAGAAATTTTGAGTGGTTCGGAGAATCGGCCAATCCCACCTCTGAGTGGCCCCGCCAACCCCATCTATTCTCTCTGCCTCCCATTGAGTCCCAGCTTATTGGCTGGGTCTCCTTTGGTTGCCCCGCACAGGAGAACGGAGCTGGGTAGCAGGTCAGTGGGGTGGGGAGGGAAGGGGGATTTTGCAGTAACCTTCCCCTGCCACGCCCACCAAGCCACGCCCACAGAACCAGTAGTAAAAAAAAATAAATCCCACCTCTAGACTGATTCCTTTTCCTCCTTGAGTAGAAGGTTTATGAATAGAAGAACACTAATTCAGCCAGTGCAGGAGAAGGAGAGGCAGAGGAGGAATCAAGAGAGAAAGAAGCCTAGAATCATTACGTGGCCACAAGCGATCCAAGTCCAGCCCCTTGAATTCCACTAATGCTCCTCTAGCACCAATTTAATGCTGTTAGTTGACTAGATTCTGGTGTGTAGGCCCGAGCAATAAATCAACTTAACAGGGACTTAATGCTGAGTCCTGATAATTTATGCCCGACAGTCAGCAACTGAATAGAATCAGTAGTTCCAGTTCCCGTCCAAAAGATAAGGGAACACCGAATGACCGTAGGGAAAAAAACTGCCCAGGGAATTATTGTTGGGGCTGCTCTGATGCCGTATCAAAAGTTGTTCTCGCCACTCAGACAGGAATTTCCCACAAGTCGGGTTTTCTTAAATCTTACCCTATGCAGGAGTACTGCCGAAGCACGGACTGGATGTCTCTGCGTGCGAGGTGTTCCGGTTTTACAAGCTCGTCACGCTGAAGGGATTAATTGAGCCCATCTCTATGATTGTACCGCGGAGAGTGAGTAATTAGCCTTTTCTGCTTTCAGCCGCGAACCCAGGGTTGTCTGCTGAGGGAGGGGGTGTCTGTAGGCCAAATCAGTAGAGACGGCAATTGAGTCATTTTCATCCAGGGGTCTCCCAGCCTTGGCGGCTTTAAGCCTAGTGGACTTCAACTCCCAGAATTCTGAGAGTTGAAGTCCACAAGTCTTAAAGCGGCCAAGTATGGGGACCCCTGTCTTAAGTAATATTGGTGAGAAGGTAGAGGCCTGCTATCCCATGAATTCCGCAGGCAGAATTATGTCCCTTAAGGCCAACATCTTGGATTGGCACCACCTCAGTCCCTAGGGGAGGCCCCGGTGGAGACGGTAGCTCAGGCTGTCTTGCAGAATAAGCATTGACAACAAGCACCTAATTGTAAGTAGAGTGGAGCTACACTTTAAACTGGAGAATCTCACTTTAAGGAGGAACCGATGTAGCAGCAAAAATTCCCAAAGAATTCTGGGAGTTGAAGTCCACTAGGCTTATAGTCACCAAGGTTGGAGACCCCTGGATTAATCTGTTTTTAGGCTATTTTTAATTATTCTTGTTTTCTGGGTTTGGTCTATTTATTATTCATTTATTAAATTTATACGCCATCCATCTCATTGATAAGGTGACTGTTACCTGCCTTTTAAGGGTACCTTAAGGGATAAATTGAACTGCCAGGTAGTCCTCGACTTATCACTGTTCATTTAGTGACTGTTTGAAATCACAACGGCACTGAAAAAAACATGACTAATGGCTGTTTTTCGCACTTACAACCGCGGCAGCCTTCCCACGGTCATGTGGCCAAAATTCAGATGTTTGGCAATGGGTTCACACTTATGACGGTTGCGGGGTCCCGAGGTCACGTGATTCCCCTTTGGCCTTCCGACAAGCAAATCAATGGGGAAGCCGGTTTCACTTAACAACCATGCGACTAACTTAACCACTGTGGCCAGGGGTGGGATTCAAAACTCCCAGCCACCAGTTCTCTGCCCGGTGGCTGGGTGGGCGTAGCCATAGTGGGTGGGGCTATGGGAACTTCCTGTTCCCGGCTTCCGGTGGGCCTCTGGGCGGGTGAAAACTTCCTCCCCCGGCCTCTGGAGGCTCTCCGGGAGCCGGAAACAAGCCCGGTTCCGGACTTCCAGAGTTTCCATGCGGACCCTGCACTTACCTCCATCAAAAATGGGCCACATGGAGACTTCGGGGGGGGGAGGGGAGGGGCAGGCCCAGCCAGTTGAGTGAAATATCGGTTAGGCAAACCAGCTGTAACTTTAACCTCCAGTTCGCCCGAACTGGTGCAAACCGGTAGAATCCCACCTCTGACTGTGACGAGAAAGAATGAGTCAAACTTTACTTAACAACTGTCTCCTTTAGCCACAGAAATTATTATTGCTGTAAGTTGAGGAGTACCTGCATTGCTCTGATGTATAAACACCATCCATCTGGATGAAAATGCTTACCATATTCACAGTGATTGGGTCAAATTGGAGCACAAATTCCACAGAATTCAATGGGGCAATGCTGAAATATAAGCCTAAGTTTGCAGTGAAAAAATGGCCCTTAAAACCTAGGATATTGTGCCACCGTCGCTCTGCCAGGTTTTGTGCTTTATACAGAAACAGAGGAAATATTGCCCGATTACTTTTTATTAAAAAAATATGCAGGCCAGTTCCATCTTTGGATCATTTTTCTTTCTGCTCCACAAACCCAAATCTCTTCTGTTCCCATCTTGGTTTCTACTTCAGAATATAAATAAAGGCAGTTGTCACCTTCCCCCCTGCGCGTAGCAGAGGCTTTTGGAGGGAGGGAAAGGCGGGAAGCTAATGCCAGTCCTCCTCCTCTTCCTCTTCCTTTTGCTTATCGGTGTCTTCATTGCAGTCAGTGACTATGCACAAAACTCTTTATGTACCCAAAGCTGAGCCTGATTAAGCAATTAAAAGAACATACCAAGTCAGGAAACGGCTGTGCATCTTGCATAAAACAGGACAAAATTGGGCCATTCTCAAGTAGAAGGAATCCTTTGAATCTGAAAATAAAAAGTTATATGTAAAACCGATCAGAATGACTGGGATATTTAATTGGCTGTGGGATTAATAATACTGATTGAATACTGCTCACAATCGAACAGTACAAGGCCTCCTTTAAGGCAGGGGTCTCCAACCTTGGCAATTTTAAGTCTGCAGGACTGTAACCGGGGGTGGGTTTCTACCGGTTCGCACATTTTTGCTAGAACCGGTTGTTAACATTCCAAGCAGTTCGGAGAACCAGTTGTTAGAAGAAATTACTGGCCTAATCCTGTAAGGAAGGCAGGAAGGAAACATTCTGGTGTTGCTTACAGAAACAGCCTCTCTGTTAACCCTCATTATGTTCTTGGCAGGACTAGACTTCCTGTCTCAGGAACTTCTCTGGAGTTTTTTTCCCCTCCTTTGCTGGTACTTTGCTTGTGTGGAGGGACCATTTAAAGTTACTTGCTGTGCTTGAGAATACCTGAATGCACACTTCTTCCCAAATGTCTGTCTGGAAAAAACAAACGAACTATCTACTACAATGAAATGGCTCTAGCTTGCTCCTCTTGGAAAGGGATTGCCACGTAGGAAAAATGGCCGGTGTCAAGATTCTGGCAGTTACCCCCATTTAAATCATGAGTCTTGAGCCAAACTTCCAGAACTTCAATTTATTGGGAGTTAACATGTCCGGCTCTGCCTGAGTGTAACCGACTCTGAGACACATCATTCATTGTCACCCTTGACCCCGGTTTTCCCCCACCCTCTGGGTCTATCATAATTCATATTCTCCAATGGGACACATCCATAGCCAAGAGTCGTCAATCATGTTCTCCAGTTAGAATTTTGCATGGCAGAAACTTCAGTCACCTAGTTACTATCTTTGAAAACATTTGTGGAATGCAAGCTGCCCACTGCTTCCTCCTCCTTTTCTGTTGGCAACTCTAAAAAGACCTGAGAAATATTTTATGAGTTTGACAGTCAGTCTTTTTGGGTTTATGAATCTTCACTGCAAATCTTTTTGGGGGGTTTAACCCAGGAAATGGGAACCAGCTCAGGGTTTCAGACAAGTTTGTTTCTTCTTTCTGATTTAGTCTGAAACATACCAGGAAGATATCTACCCAATGACTCCGGGTCCAGAACCTGCCCTCACTCCAGACGAATGGCTGAGTGGAATGAATAGGGGTGAGCATGTTGGCACCTCCGGTTGATCTTCTGGCCTTCACCTCATCATGTATAGCCTGAGCTGTGACCCATCTTGTATGGACGGTCAAAGCTTTAGAAAGATTCTAGGGTCAACTGCATTTAAAAAGAATAGTTCCAGATTGCTCAAAAGTTTGATATCAAGGAAAGAATTTAAAGACATGTCGAGCTCCCTATATAAGGCTTTTAATATAGCGTCTCAATACCTGTTCAAGAGAAGAGTTAAAGCAGCGGCCCCCAAACTTGGCAACTTTAAGACTTGTGGTCTTCAACTCCCAGAATTCCTCAGCCAGCTAGTGATAGAGGGAGTTGAAGTTGCCAGAACTTTGGGCGAGAGTGACTGTGTCATACTGGAATTCAATATAATGCAAACACAGGCAATAGAACATAATCCAGCCAGTGTCTTAAACTTTTAAAAAGTTGATTTTAACAAACTCAGAGCAAGCCTAAGAAAAATTACATGGATGAAAATCCTAAAGGTGAAAACAACTCAAGAAGCGTGAGAAACTGAAAAATATGATCATAAAAGCCCAGCCCAACACAATATCACTGAAAAAGAAAAACAAGAAATCCATGTAGAAATCAGCATGCGCGAAGATCTCTCTGATAAATTGAAAGACAAAAAGGATAAGTACAGTACAAAAAATGGAAAGAGGTACACATAACTAAGGCAAAATATTGTACAGATAGCCCAAATCTGCAAAGATGAAGTCAGGCAAGCAAAGGCTCAGAATGAACAAAGATTCGCAGTCAAAAGAAATCGGGAAATCGGCATGGAAAGGAATCTTTCCATGCTGATTTTGTTTGGCACCCAATCTTTGAATTGTGACCCAATTCAAAAATCGGGTGGATTTTTCACCTGATTTGGGCGCGATCAGGAGCGTTCACAACCGGAGGCTCCACTGTATAGCTCAGTCTACCAAAAACCTAATTGTAAAAGACAGACTAGATATAAAAATTAAAATAAACAAGAAAACGGACCTGATAGATTATATCCCAGAGTTCTGAAGGAGCTGGCAGATGTTAGCCCAGAACCATTGTACCATTGTATCTTTCAAAAATCCTAGAGCACCAGGGAAGTACATGAGGATTGGAGAAAGGGGAGAAAAAACAGACCCAGGAAACTACAGACCAATCAGTCTAACATCAATACCCAAGAAGATACTGGAAAAGATAACCAAAAAACAGGCCTTGCAAACATCTAGAAACAAAGGAAGTTATAAAAGCCAGCACTGGTTTGTTAAAATTAAATCATGCCAAAGCAATCTTATTTTATTCTTTGAAAAAGTGACCAGCAAAATGTTTTGGACATAGTATATTTAGACTTCAGCAAGGCATTTGACAAAGTAGACCACCAGTTTGCTTCTTGGTGAACTAGAAAAAGAAGACCTTGAAAGTCTCTTCCAGCCCTGTGATTCGATCTTTCTGTGTTTCTTTCACCTCTGCCAAGATTCATACCTTCCTCTGATCTAGCCTGATTATGACTGTAGTCTTTGTTGTCCCTTTTGAAGGGCGGCGGGGCGCAGTTTCAAATCTTGCTTTTCTTCAACACTCAATAATTTTTAAAAAGAAATATAATATTTAAGATATTTTTATCATACCCTATTTTAATAAATAACTCATTGGTGAACATACCTAAACTCTTGTTTTCCCCACAACAATCCTATGTCCCCAAATCACCCATTTATAAAGGGAGCTGCTAGTCAGGTGGAGGACCACATCAATCCTTTGAATTATTTTCCACAGACAATATTTTATGCCAATCGACTCTGCCATCTTCCCCAGCACAAGGAAAATCTGTTAGTCTGGATCTCCAGAGAACATTGCCTCGAAATCTCAATTTGGGGGCGCAGGGGAGGGGTAGGCGTCAAACTACTCATCCTTCTGGGTAACTGAGAATGACTGCATCACCAAGCAGCAATTACCCTCATAACTAGGAGCAGCTAAGAAGAACATGTTTGATTAGATAATAGAGCATCCATGTCAGCTTCAAAGTTATGGGGAATGGTGGAGTAGTTGCCAGAGAATTGGATCTACAGCTTGATGGGTCCAGGAGGCATGCGTTCATAAAATAATCAAATTTGAAAATAGAAGTCCCCACCCCCTCTATCAATTTTATAGGGTGCTGTTGCTGGCAAAAATGCTGGTCATAAGATTGGTGGCTCCGGTAGCTATCTTTTTGTTTTGTTTTTTAATTTTTTTATTGATGCCCATCCTGAGATGTGGGTTTTATATTGCCTTTCAGATCCCATATTGATGTCTTTAAAGGAAGGCTATAAGAAAGAATCCAAAGTAGTTTTCAAACCACCAATAAAAGAGAAGAAAAATGTTGTTGTCAATGGGATAGATCTCTTGGAAAATGTGCCACCCAGAACAGAGAATGAGGTAAGAAATAGCAGCTGCGTTCTTTCCAACCTGGAAAAAGAAATGATTCCCAACTTCTCCATCCCATAATTCTGGGGCAGTCTACCAAACCATGCTGGGACTGCCGAATGCCTCTCAGGTCCTCCCGAAAAGGTGACCCAGAGGTCCAAGGGGGTCCAGTCTCAGATCCTGCAGCCCATTTGCTGCCATGGTTCCAATCTTTTCAGCCTCACACTCTGTTGACCCTTTTCTGTTTCTTGTCTTCCACGAAGCTCCTCCGAATGTTCTTCCGGCAACAAGACGAGATCCGCCGACTGAAGATTGAGCTTTCGCAGAAAGACATCAAAATCCGACAGCTACAGTTGGAATTGAAAAACTTGCGCAATAACCCTCAAAACAACGGACTCTGAAGGGATTTTTTTTTTCTAAAGAAACTCTTTGTTTATACCCACTCTTTAATTTTACTGTCTCGACACATGATATGAGCCAGAGACCCTGTGCCAGCACATGGGTGCGCCTGCTAACTGGAAGCCTCTTCTTCTGTGGTCGTTGCCTAGCACTAAAAAGTTATTTGTATGATTTAACTTGAGAACTACTGCATGAAAAGAACAAGGGAGGCGTATATTCCAAATTTCTCTTGAAGTAAGTAGAAGCGAAATGCTCTTTGTCCTTCTTGCAAAATTACGGAATCATTTTTCATCTCTGATTAGTCCAGGGATGAGAAAAGCGAAACACTGTAAGCCCAGACAAAAGCAACTCAATTCATTATTACTTACCTTTCTTTTCACGAGATAGAGGGTGGATGTCCATAAACAGCAAGCGTGCACTTGGAACGCAAACTCACTACCCTGAAAAGAAGTCTGGAAGGAAAACGGCTTCCCTTCTCTTGGGAACCGTCCGGGGGGTGGGTGCCTTGTGACCTGAGCGTTCCTTGAGCCCTGCAGCCGGTTTGGGCTTTGGCGTTATTGAACACTCTCCAGGGCTCACCCTGCCTGCCTGGCACCCGCTTTGCTTGGGCATCACTTTTGGGCTGGTAGCTACAATTTATTCTGTTGAAATATACCCAGTGGGCACCCGGGTAATGAATACATGCAGGTCGCATCTCTAATTGGTCTCTTCAAGAGTGGTTGTGAATGTACCCATGTACACACACATAACACACCCATGCACGCACGCACGCACACACACACACACAGTTGCAAGAGTCCTGAAGATAAACTTGACAAAAGGAGACAGATGCTGTTAAGTGACAAGTAGATGAAGGTTTTGAGGGAATACAATCCCAAATGCAAATCCAACACAGAGAAGGCCTAGCAAATCATTCTCTTGATCAAGAGAGTCCAAATGAAAGGCCCAACAGGGAGTTTTCAAGTGGGGAGCACTTAATCCAGCAAAAATTAAGCACTTTTAATGAACTACCCATTAGCAGCTTGTGAGTTAGGGGTATATTTTATTCGTTTTGGTAGAAGCAGTGGACAGTACAGACCTGCATTTTCAGCTGCATATATATATATATATATATATCCTGAAGAGTGCCAGTCCTACACGTTAAACTTGACTCTCCTGTCCTGACAGCTTTCACACAGATTCATAGCTCAGGTTCTTCAGCAGCTAATGGAGCAGTTGGCAAAGGGCCGATTTGTGGCAGGGAAAGGGGGTGGTAATCCTTATTGAAGCCTGTCCAGGAAGATGGATTGCCGTTGCTTCTCCCCTGCCCCAATGCAGACCTGCTTATTGAGCGAATGATCGGATCATGAGGTGTGATGCCCTGATAGCTTTCATGGCACTTAACAGAACTGCAGGCCCATTCTAATTATTTAGACTAAATTAAAAAAAAAAAAAAGATTCCCATCTTTTTAGGACTGGAAACTGGCAAGCTACCTGCACAACAAGGTGCCAACCTTTAGCCTCAGGTGCCATTCATGGAGGTTGGGGGGGGGTGTTGCGGATTTCAAAATCAATATAGTGGCCAGGATGCATTAGGAAGGTCTTGCATCAACGGCACCGTCGCGACCATCTTGACTTCACTTCCAAGAAAGACTCTGGAGCTGAACGTTTTGCCTGCTGACAAAGGCAGTCACTGGAAGACCCTCCCCCATAAAATGGGAGAGGGGGTAACGTTCAACCCAAGGCACCTGGCTAGAAACCAGGTGTCTGAGTTCTAGTCCTGTCTTGGGCATGAAAGGCAGCTGGGTGGCTTAGGGCCAGTCTCTCTCTCTCTCTCTCAGCTCAATCCACTTCATTAGAGTTGTTAATGGGGAAAAGGGGAGAACGGAGGAGGGTTTGGTATATTTGTTGCCTTGTTATTTATAAAAATAATCTCAGGATCAAATCTGAAAAACCAAGAAGATATGAAAGAGTTCCAGTAGGCAGCCGTCCTGCAGAAGGGCTGGAGGGGGAGGCAGGCAGGTGGGACTCCTCCATCATAGCCATTTGGGGAGATCACCCACATTTTAGATTTCTGCATATGCCAACTGCTGTTCCCACCACGATGGCCGAGCCCATTCTGTCTCTGCCTTCACGCCATGCATGCAGCATAACAAATGCCTTTCTCACTCACGGCTGGGCTGGTTGGTTAGGATTTCTTGAGTCTCCCACGCTAGGAACGCTTAATCCCAAAGGAGTTGTAATCTTCAAGGGCTGGCCCTACATATTTTGCCGCCTGAGATGGGAGACATTTTGCGCAGATGCTGGGCAATGTGGCAGCTCAACCTGATGGCGCTGCTCCTGGCTGCCTCATCTGGGCGGCAGAAATGCAGGTGGCACAAGATGGCAGCCACTAGTTTGGGGTTTTGTATCCCTGAGGGTGCCATCTAGTCTCTCCCTGAATTTTGCTGACCAGATCTGCTAGCCCTTCTTTGGGGCAAAGAACAGGCTCTGTCCTCCCGAGAGTATTCTGCGTTAACTAGCTTTCTTCCTCCCTATTACTAGGACTGGCCACATACACTTGCAAGGAAAAGGTACAGTTGGAAGGTAAATTTTGCAAGAGGGTCGGGCAGAAGTGCCTGCCAAGCGAATAAGTACAGTACAGATTTCAGCTTGGAGTCACCCAGATATGTTGAGTACCCAGAATTTCCAGCCTGTATGGCCTGGCCAATACATCCTGAAGACATTCAGCTGGAGAAAGGCTTAATATTTAATTCGCTACTTTGCTCTCCAAAATAGAAGAGAGGGTGGCTGGCTGCCTTTACAGAAAAGGAGTGTTGTGACTGTAATTTAACTTTTGCTGCCAGCTCTTCTAAGCATGACTCTTCCCTCCTTCCGGAGCCACACCCTTTTCTCATCAATAAGAAAGGGGTAGTTCTGTTTTGTGGAATCCCGATCAAATTACAATGGCAACTGAGTTTCAATGCCCATTGAAGAAGTCAAGCGCCTGAAATGTTGTGTACAGTATTCTAGAGTAATCTCGTGTTCCTGAATGTGACTTTTTGTATTGGGGAGTGTGTAAGTGAACACATTTACACACTACCTAGGGATGCCTGCATCGGGAGGCTAGCACTGGGCCCACTCACACTTGCTGCTGTCATCCATCCCACAAGCAGCAGAATGCAGCCAGGACACCTGCCTGCTAGAAGGGTTAGGAGAGGTGTTGTAAATGCAACTTTGTTAAATCAAAGTTGTTGCCCCTGGACCAGCCATCACCCTTAGCCACATTAGCGATTGTCCTGGCTTCAATCCAGCCTTCGCTGGCTTGGAACTAGCTAAGGGGTTGGCCGATTCAAAAGATTTAAGGGGACGCATTCCAAGTATTGAAGCCATATACTATTTCTGCTCACCCTCAGCTATGGTTTTGGGAACCATCCCATTCAGATGTTCTGGGGAAATGTAGTGACAAGCTTTTACTACACAGAAGAGTGGATCTTGACAGGGTCAGTTTTGTCCATAAAGGGCCAGGAAAAGCTGACCTTTCAACTTCTCAGGGCTTCTGGTTTCACATTTTCCCACGCCAGTTGATGTGGACAATCACTTTCCTTGAAACTTAAGAGCCAGGTTGCCAGATTCCACCCTGTGCACCAAAGAGTCTACCTTTGACCACACTGTTAATTCACAAGGACAGCCAGGCAACTGGGCTCCTTTTCTTCTCTTCTGCCATCCATGTTCACATTGTGTATTCTGTGCCTAACACCGATTTCCCACCACGCCACTTCAAGTGTTCCCATCCGCTTATTTATGCTGCCCCGCAGTAGCCACAAAATAAAGCTACCCAAATAGCAAACCAGCCCGTTGTGATGTCTCCTTGCCTTCTGGGTGGAATGAGGATATATATATGCCTTCCAAAAGGATTGGGGGGGGGGGCAGGGAGGGGCGCAGGCAGAGCAAAGTGTCTCGTGGTGTGAAGTCTGAAACAATGGCCAGGATTTTTCTAGAAAGCAGCCATCTACTTGCCTTCATGACAGAGCTTGGAGGATAGTAAAAGCTGGGCACGTTTAGCCTCTTTGACTGTTTCCCGCCTACTTTGTGAGTAGGAAAACCAAGAATGGTTTCCTTGAGGGGAAAGAAGACTCCGCGGAGGGGAGATCCACGGGATCGAATGGAAATGGAAAACCGACTAGGCTACAGAGGTCGGAAAGCTTCTCATTAACCTGACATAAAAAAGCAGATCTACCAGACACCTCGTAAGAGGTATGCAAACCTGCTTTCTCCAGAGAACTCGAGGTCGTTCCCTTTTCCTCCCCTGGAACGGCCACTGTGGCCCACAGGAGAAAGAGAACGTTGCAGAGTGTTCTGGAATGTTCCGTTCCCGGGAAGGGAACTTCTATACACATCGCGGTTGCTCCCGTTCTTCCGGGGCTCTAGCGGGCTCCTCCTCTGGGAAGCCCGGAAATGAAACGGAGAGCCGCTTAATTAGGCCCCAACTTCTGTTTCAATGAAGTATTTTGCTTTGGTGGACTGAGCCATTGTGATTAATCAATTTTCTTTTTCTTTTTTTTTAAAAGTTTCTTAAAATAATTAGAAGTTTGTTGTTTTTTTAAAAAAAAACTTTAAAATTAAGCAGCAAATTCCCACGTGGCCCATTTACTGCAATAAGCCACAGGAAAAAAAAAATTGTATAAAAAGATTTATTGAAATTCATAATTAACAAAGACATAAAACTCAAAAAGTCTGGCTCTTTGGGGAGCGAGAGGGAAGGTCGCAATGGTTGTGCTTGTTTATATACAGATGAGAAACTGACTAGAAAATACAAGCCCACTTCTAATGCTCTATTGGAAGAGGGACATGAAATTAAATCTGTACATTCAACTAGGTACTTTGCAGTCAATTTACTGACTTTTTAAGAAAATACAACTTTTCTATCAGCAATCCATGCTCGTGTATGAAGAGAGACCCCGACTGGCCTGGGAGTCCAGTAATGTTTCCTCTGGTAATTAAAAGCTTTGCAAAAAATCTTCAGCGTACTGTAGAGTAGACCACACGTGGAGACAGATTCTCATCACCTAATATCAAGGAGTTGTTAATATACTTTTATATATAGTATTTTACAGACCAAAATAGTACACACTTTAGTTAAAAGGGTTCAAACATTTTCTTTTTTTATTACAACTGTCAAATGCAATTCACCAGTTAACTCAGGAAATTAGGAACACTTTTTATATATATTTATAGATATTTCCATGACTGCCGTTTTACAGAGAACTGCTCTAGATCCCCTCAAAATAGTCAGAAGACGAACCAGCCAGGAATGGGAGCTGAACAAGGATCCGTCCGTATCCTTGCGCAGTTCCCATCCCGAGAGAAGCTTGCCCGGCCATGCCCTACAAGATTTTTTCTTTTAAAATAAAACTTTGCAAAGTCACCCCCACAAACCAAATAAAAAGGAGAGAGAGAGAGAGAGAGAGGAGAGAGAAATTACATAGTTGGTCACTATTTACAAACAGCCAAGTAAATGTTACCGACAGGAAGTGAAAGAAAAGGGATTTCTGGGAAGGGCAGCCATTCACAAAACAGGTAACAAGGAAACACTCGGTTATCTGGACGCTGCCGCTGCTCCCCTGCAGTGATGGTGGCTGGGAGGCTCCCGTGGCCAATCTTGCTGCACCCAGAAGAGAAGGAAGAAATACTTACAATATCCTCATAAACTGGCAAAAAAAGGGGTGGGGAAAAGAAGCCGCCACCGGGTCTCCAGGCCCACGTTATCCCTCCGCCCTCCCTGTTCCAGCCATCCGTTCGAACCCTTGCGTGAATTGCCCGGCTCACGTTTATTTCTAAAAAACTTTTTCTAAAAAAAATAATAATAATAATAATCCAGAGTCCAGGATGAGCCACTCCCAAGAAAAACATACGTATGTCTTTCCGTGGTTTGCTTCTGCAGAAACAGGAATAAGAGAGAAAATGATTTTTTTCAGAAACAAAAGGTAGCAGTCGGAGTGGCAGGTTGTCATTTTTTTAAAATGTTGTTTTAATCCCCTTGCCCATAAAATTAAGCATTTCCTTCTTGATCTCACAGCAACGTTACATTCCAGGGAGGGAGGGGGGTGAGAAGGGGTGAAAATACAGGGTATAAACAGTCAAATCACAATAGGAAACTTATTTTCCCCCAGAACAGATTATGTTGCATTTAATCTTCCTCCTCGCCTTCATCATCAGCCTCTCGTTTTCTCTTCTCCCCCCGGGCTTCTTCTGTCAAAGGAAAGAGGTTCAGGTTCAGGACAAAGGACATCTCTCTCTGCCCCACAAACTACCCCCCCCCCAATGCAGCCCCAAAAGAGATGGAGGGGGCGGCTTCTGGGATCGCAAAGCAACCCCCTTAGGCTTAAGCCCAATTTCCAGCGGAGCAAAGGCCTGGGCAGCTCTTGCGGGGGCGGGGGGTGGTGGGGAGCAGCTTCCACCAGCAGCCAAATTCAGCCCCACTTCCGGGGGGGGGGGAGCAAAGTCCCACTCTGCAACCCAGCTGCTGAAACTGGGTTAGCTAAGCAGCCCTGCACCATTTTCCCATATAAAATATGTGCAAAGAGGAGGAATAAAATAAAAATATTAACCCAGAACTCTTGAATGCCCTTAGGGTCTGTTTTTTTTTTAAATTAGCTGGTTGGTATCTGTTTAATTCCAACTACATATTGACCGCTCTATAAGTCCCCTAGTCAATAAATGAACTTTGCCCCAAAGAAAATTCCCCATCGCATCAAAAAGAACCTACAGGCCTCGCGTTCCTCCTTCACGTCTCACTTTCCCTCTGAAGAAGAGCTCAAGACAGGCTCCCTGGAAGCATCTCCTAATTCCCCCCCTCCCCCCCAAGAGCTTTCTTCTGAGGGAGGGGTTGGCCGAAGGGGAGAGCCAGACCGAGGGTCCCCCAGAAAGCTCTCTGGCTGCAGGGCGACTCGAGCCTGCCTTCCAGGCCAAGCGCTTAAGCCCGCAACACAGCATCACAGCCAATCTCCCAATCGTTTAGCCTTTCAAAGAGGTTTTCTTGAGGTTTGCTTTTGCACATACCAACTTCTTCTTCCTCCTCTTCGTCATCTACTTCACCATCATTATAACCCTCTTCGTCCTCCTGCCAGAGAGAAAAGGCCAAAGTGTTTCATGGCATCTAGAACTGGTCTAAACTGGAAGAGGAGTTGCCAGAAGCGTATTCGACAGGAGGCAAATTATCCACTCTGGCTGATCGCAGATCCCACCCCACTTCATCCAGAGCAAGATGCCTGCAGCGGGCCTGGTTCTCCCCCGCAAGTACCCCGGTCTCACCTCCTCTTCTCCACTCACGTCTTCCTCTTCTCCACTCACGTCTTCCTCTTCTCCACTCACATCCTCCTCCTCTTCTAATTCATACTCTCCTAACTGAGCCTCTTCATCGTAGTCCTCTTCTATAAAACAAAACAGAAAAATCAAGCCCGTTTATCACCTTGTCCAGTGAGAGGAGCCCTTTCCGTTGCCTTCCGGTCCCTCTTCCACGCCTTTGCTTCATCTGTCTCAGGCCATAAAGGCAAGAAGAGCAACATGACAGTCAGAACCGGATGGAGTCCTGAACTTCTGCAGGAGGACTGGGGCAGGGTGTGTGTGTGTGTGTGTGTTTGCCACTGAGCATATACAGAAATACCAGGTTCCCAGTCACCGTCCTTCAGCTGCCTGGACATTGGGGCTATCAACTAAGTGCCTGCATTCTGCGTCTCAGAGATTGTGATCACCTGGAGTCCATACTAGGGACAGGAACGCTGGGCAAGCTATTTTAGGCTCTCAAAGGAGGCCGGTCCTGAAGGCAGAAGACAGGCATTGAATGAAACAAAAGAACAAAATAAAGAGCTTGCCTTCAGCAATGAGCAAAGCTGCTTCCAGGAAACCCAACAGGAAGACCAAGAGCGTTAAGCAACCTATCACGCAGTTCTCCCACTTCTCTCATCTCATGCAAATTGAAGGAGAAATGCTCCAAACCAGCTAAATCTATTTAAAACAGCAAAACCACCCGATGTTTTCATGAAGTGGAACGTAACAAGAGGAAAGAAATGCAGATCAGTTCCAAATTTTTCTGAAGTTGAGTTTAATCGAGGCTTATGTTCCTATCCTCTGCGTAAGTTTCCCTCGTCAACTTTATTTCTAGTATCTGGTTATTTCACACAATAGACTTGCAAGGGACCTGCCTCTCCAGGAGCTGCAGGATGGGGACAGGATTCCTCACCATTCTCAGGCCAATAGTTCCCTACTTGCACGTGGCACACTCTGCACTGTGATAGGGCGTGCCGCAAAAGCCACGCATTTAAGGGAACCGTGGTACCAGAAAGGGCACGGATATAAGAAGCCCCCTCTGGATTGGATCTACTTGAGAGTCACTGATTTTCAAGCCAGCAGTCATGCCTAAAACTTGTGGGAAATTTAGAATCAGGTTGAAGGCAGTTGTTCCTGGCCTCTGCTGCCCCACTAAGCCATCGTACGTATCAGCTACTGAGTACTGTCTCTTCCTCCAACTTATTGCAATCCCCTTGAAAGCAATCTGTAGGAGTGGCCGTTATCATCATATCCACAAGTTCTGTTTCCAGTAATTGAAAGAGGAACGAAATCAACCTTTAGATACTGGCCTCTGCTATTCAATGGTTCTCTCATATATCTACCCCACCATTCCAGTACAAAATGCCAACGTTCATCAATATTTGGTGCCAAGAATTACAGGGCACTGGAATCTAGGGATTTTTCAAGGATTCGTCCCGTCTCCTGCTTCTTCCAGGGCAAACTGGAATGGTACACATTGACAGAGATAATTCTGTGGATGGTTTTGCTGCATCAAATAAGGCAAAGATACGGAGTTTTGTTCTTGGGAGTCAACCTCAAGCTAGGAATCGGGCTCACACACCATCCTCCTCCTCCTCTTCATCATCCAGGCCTTCCACGTAACCTTCTGCATCCGAATCAGGGGCCTCTTTATCATTTCGATCATAGCCATCCAGATATGTGAGTTGAGGGAGAAGTTTGAAGACATTTTCTCTGTAGTCGTTCAAGTTGGTGACCTCACAATTGAAAAGATCTAAACTCTTCAGGTTTTCTAACTTCTCCTGAAAGAAAAAGGAAGGGGTTCAAAGCCAACCCTCAGCCCAACGCCACTGGGTCAGAAATATAACAAAAGGAATGCTCCAAATGTGGAATTGAAAGGCGTCTTAACTACACACGCCTTCCAGCCTCTCAATCTGGCGAGGATCAGAATTGGCCTACGAGAGGTTTGGAAGCGGCCACATCCAGTTGGTCCGGGTTTAGGCTCCAGAGAGCTGGATTTAAGCCACAGATCACTGGGAGTCTGCAAGACACCTGTCCAAAGCCTCAACGGGAGCAAACCCGGATTGCATGTTGTCAAGGTGTCCAGGAGTTTTAAATCCCATGAAAGGAGCCGCCTCCTGTTTGTTCCCAGCCTACAGACAACATCCCTTTAGGCAACCACCAGAGGGAGATGCGGGCGCTCCCTTGCCAAGCCACGAATAAAGCCGTATTTTATGGTGTTGGAACAGAAGATTCAAGGCTACCTTCGGCCATAGAAGCTCACGGGATGACTGGGCAAGTTTCACTCCGTCAGCCCAACCTAGTGGAAGAATAGCCTTCAGGTGCTTAAATATCGGTGTATATTAACTAAAAAATATCGAATACCTAAGACTCTTCTTCTCTGTTCGTGTCAGCACTGAAAAGGCTTCTGTTAGGTTAAACAAAAAAAAAAAAGGAAGATTCGTAGTCCCATTCGATGGGGGAGGCTGACAAAGACACCGCACGGCACCATACTTTTATTTTTCATCCTTACAGACTTTTTTTTTTCTTCTTCTGTACTTTCCATTTTGAAGTGCGTTGACTTTCTCAGCAGAAAGCCAGCAGGGACAAAGTGCGACAGCAGAAGCTGCAATCTGGTGGCCAGAAGCAGATCCAAAACCGTTGCCAGTCGCAGTGTTACTCAGTGAACGTTCAGGGCAGCCATTCACGGGCCCTGAAAACAGGCAGCGGAGGACAATAGTTGCAGCTGTTCTACATCTGCCTCCCCTCAGCTGCTACCTCACTTGAGGCACCCCGGGTTTCTACGGTTCTCTCCTTTAGGTTCTGGCTTGTCCACAAATATTGTTTCTATGGATTCTATAGAAACGTGAAGAAATGACAAGGAAACTGCCCAGATCATAAGGCTGTTTTAAGTTTAGAAAAAGGGAGGAAAGGGGGAACTTATTGCCTGACAAACTGAAGGGAGTATGGAAAAGTTTAAACATTTAAAAATGCAACACTACCAGCACGGAGACTAGGCAGTCAAGGAGAACCGAAAGAAACAGGGAACCATATCCTGAGTTAATGTGGAAACGACTCCTACTCCACTGAAAGCTACAGAAATTTGTCCTTTTTGTCTGGAAAGGAAGGGCCGTAAAAAGGCAAGATTGGCTGAAATTGCCTTTCAAGTACTTGACTTTACGCTACGTGTCATTTGTCCATTTCATCATCTGGCTTACAGGGCTGTTGTTGTTTTTGTAACTGCTCAGGAATAAGGTTGGCCGCAGAGTCATAATTAAATGGGGGCAACTGCCGGAATCCTGACACTTGGCTTCTCTATAAGAAGTCTACATGGACTCACCAGAGGTTCTATTGTACTAAGATCCTTTATTTTGTTGCCACTTAGGTTTAGATGTGTGAGGTTCGGACATTTTTCTGCCAATACTTCCAGTCCCCCTGAGATTCTGTTGTCACTTAACTCGAACTGAGGAGATAAATATTGAGACAATTAAAAACACACACACACACACAATTATTAAGTTTTAGGAGGATATAGCATTTGCTCTCCAATATCTCTAGTAAAGTCTTATCTGTGCACATATGTCACCTCACAGAGGAGACATTCCTTTCCTGAGACCCCAATAATCTGAAATTCCACCCAGGTGTCCCCCAAAAGAATGAGTAAAGGTATAGGACACAGACACAGAGGGTTTGGGAGAGATTTGGAAGGAAACGAAAGCAACAGTATCACAAAGATGCTTGGGGAAAGCGAGGGATTGGAGAAATAGAAGAGAATGAAAGAGGAAAGGGAGCCCAGGAGCTGGTGAATGGTTTTGAAGCGGAGGTCACAGAACTTGCCTGAATCCAAAAACAGACTGGGAGCCAACAATGAGACTGGAGGGATGGCACTGGGGGCCATCAGAACAGTTGCACAAAGGAAAACCAAGACAGGGGGCAAATAGAGCACACCCGAAAGTCAAAATAAAGCTAAGGAGGCAACATCTGCAGAGGGAAGGTGGGCTGTGAGGTGATCATTCCCTCGTTCCTTCATAATAGGAGAACAAGGAAAGCCACAAAAATAATGATGGAGGAGGAAGAAGGCGGAATGGGGAAGGAGAGGAACATGCAGGCCGCGGGATAGTGTGTCTGAAAGAAACATGGGAGACTCAAATGCAGAGCAGAGAGACGCCAACCGAGAGAACAGCTGAATTAACACCTCCAGTGAGACTAGCGGAAGGGCAACGAAGCCAACAGGGCAACAGTGAAGGGGAAGCAAATTTTGAACAGAGGGTGAGAAAAGGGAAGGCAGCGGGCAGTCAGCAGCAGAGAAGATCCAGGATGATTCAGAGGAGGCCGAGAAAAGGCTACCGGGAGAGGAAAGAAGGGGGCCTGATGGGGGAACAGGCGCAGACACTAAAGCCTGCACAACCTGAGCCAACTAGCAGGTGAGACCAAATTGGCAGCCAGGTGAGCAGACGGGCCTGTGTAAAACGGAGGTGTTGGCTGCAGAGTTACAATAGAGAAAAGCAAGAAATATTGGGAAATCCCTGCACTTTACACTTCACCCTTGGACGTTTATTAAAAAGACCCAAAGTGTTGGCTTTACTGGTCACATAGAGACCCCCATTCAGCACTGGGTTCGAGGGTCTTTTATAGAAGTAACTATTGGGCACGTCGCGTTTTTCTTCATGAAACAGGACAAGCACCTACCTTCTTGAGTTTGTTTAACTTTGGTAAGTTTACAACTGAGGTGAGGCCTACGTTGATTATACTTAATAGTTCCAGCTCTTCAAATTTATCTGTGAGGCCTTCAATTTTTCCTTGATTTGACCTGCAGTTGTCAAGAACAAGTTCTTTTACCTGAATATAAAACATAAATAAAATAGGGTTTAGTTCAGGTTCGGTCATCCTTAGTTACAACTGTAAGATGAAGGAATGTCACCAGTCCCAAAAGAATAGAATAGAATAGAATAGAATAGAATAGAATAGAATAGAATAGAATAGAATAGAATAGAATAGAATAGAATAGAATAGAATAGAATAGAATAGCTGGCCCTGACACCTGGCTTGGGGCTCACGAAGGAGCTCCCAGCCATCTGGCTGGCTAGTGCCCCCGCTCCCCTGCCTTTTAATGTTGAATTGTAACAAATCTGGCTTCTTTTTTACATTTTATATTCAGTTTTTATGTGTTTAACATTTTATGTGCATACCGCCTAGAGTTCCTCTGTGAAGGAGATGGGAGATTTCTAAATGGATAAATAAATAGGCATTTAACGTATCAGAGTAATTTATATAGCCTTCATAAGACTCCAGAGGTCTTGACTCTCTGACCTATTCCAGGCTTGCTTCAAGCCAAACCCACCCACAGTATTTTGGAGTAAAACCCTCTAAATTGAAGAGGACTAAATTTCAAAATGGCCCAAGAATTGCTGTATGTTTCAGGCCAGAGCAGAGTCACTATGTGGAAGGGGGGAACACTCATATTTATTTCACAATGGGCGCTCTCCTATTGCAGCCCTGGTCGAAAGGGTCCAGCAGAGATTCGACTACCTGAGACTTCTCAGAAAACAACAACTGAATGAGAAATTGCTGGTGAGCTTCTACCGCTGCACCATATAAAGCATTTTAACATATTGCACCTCTATACGGTTTGCCAATTGCACAATGGCAGATAGGAAAGCACTCCAGAGGGTGAACGTCGTTGCCCAAAAGACCAGGGGTTGCCCTCTCCCCTCTTTGGAAGAGCTTTAGACCTCCTGCTACCTTAAGAAAGTTCAAAACACCCTCAAAGATCCATCTCATCCTGGGAACCCCCTTTTTTTAACTATTACCATCTGGCAGATGGTACAGGACAATAAAAACAAGGACAAATAGGCTGAAAAACAGCTTCTGTGCCAGGGCAGGAGCTCTGTTGAATTCTGCTGTGTAGTGCAATATGAATGCAATATCAGGGGTTTTGAATTCAATGTATTGACTGTGAAGGATGTGTGTTTGTGTTTATAGTCATGGTCATGATGTGCACTGAAGATGGTGTTTGAAGTTTAGTTCACTTTATTGTCATTGCAATGACAATAAAGTGAACTAAACTTCAACACAATTCTGGCCATTGACCTCTGACCAATGCTCCACTCTGCATTTATGGCATGAAAAAAAGCAGGCAGGCCTAAAGTGACATACCCAGGAGTGTACCTGGATGCAAAGCAGGTAATCCTCGATTTACAATCATTAGTTTAGGGATCGTTCGAAGTTACAACGGCATTGTAAAAAGTGAGTTATGATCAGTTTTCCCTTATGTGCATTTGTCGCATCGATGTGATCCCGTGACCAACATTTCCGTGCTTGGCAACTGGCCTGTCCTGATGACGGTTGCTCTGTGCCAGGGCCCTGTGATCCCCAGGTGTCACCTTCCCAGCTGGCTTCCAACAAGCGAAGTCAAGGGGGAAAGCCAGTTGAATGACCACTTAACAACTGTGTGGCAAAAGAGGTCATACATGGGGCAAAACCCATTTAACAGCTGCCTTGCTTAGCAACAGAAATTTTGGGCTGGTAAATCGAGGACTACCTGTCCTGACCTGGACTATCTTTGCTCCATTAAAAAAGTATGTGTTTTTAGGCCAGGTACGCCATTTCAGTGAGCGTTTCCAAAGTCAACTATGATGACAATAAAATCAAGTAATTCTCCCATGGTTGCTGTCTCTCCTACTCCCAGAAGAAAGGCAGATGGCGAATACGCTGAGCCCTCTTCCTCCCTTGGCTGAATTGCTGATACTGGCAATGCTGTAATTCCAAACAAACACGCTCCGGTTAATGGAAAGGAATTCCAAACAAATTTGAAAGGGAGAGCTGTCCAATCACTTGGAAAGAAAACTTGGCTGCAGTTTCAACTAATCCAGGTTCAGAGTACAACTGAACAAAATCATTAGCTAGCTGCAACTATTTCACAGTCGGTGTGTTGGGCCTGCAGCTGGTCTTTTTTCATTTTTTTTTTCTTTTCAAAATACTGGCCTTCATAACTTGCAGTAATGCTAAATCCTGGAATTGTGTGTTCCTTTGTTGGACTCCCAACTAATTTCACAAATTGGATTTTCTGGAATTCCAGTTTTAACAGTCGTTGGAAGGGACCATCCAGCCCCCTGCACAAGGAGGAGAACCTATATCAGAGGTCTCCAAACTTGGCAACTTTTAAGACTTGTGGACCAACTCCCACAATTCTCCAGCCAGTTGGTCTTAAAGTTGCCAAGTTTGGAGACCTCTGCCCTAAATCACTCCAGACAGGTGGCTGTCCAGTCTCTTCTTCAAAGCCTCCACTGATGGGGCACCTACAGCTTCTGAAGGTTGCTTCCACTGGTTGATTGTTCTGTCAGGAAATTCCTCCTTAGTTCTAAGGTTGCTTCTCTCCTTGGTTAGTTTCCACTCAGTGCTTCTTGTCCTGCCTTGTGATGCTTTGGAAAATAAGTTGACCCTCTTCTTCATGGCAGCCTCTCAAATATTGGAACCCAGCTATCCTGTTGTCCCTAGTCCTTCTTTTCGCTAGACTAGACAAACCCAATTCCTGCAACGTTCTTTCTATGTTTTAGCCTCCAGCTCCCTAACCATCTGTGTTTCTCTTTTCTGCACTCTTTCCAGAGTCTCAACATCTTTTTTTGTAGTTTGTGGTCACCAAAACTGGTGATGTTAAGGTCTTGAAAAAGTGCAGAGAAGTGCAATAAAGATGATAAAGAGGTCTGGAGGCTAAACCATAGGATGAATGACTGAAGGAATTGGGTAGGTCTAGTCTAACAAAGAAAAAAGACTAGGGGTGACCTGATAGCTGCCTTCCGATATATGAGGGTCCATCACAGACAGGAAGGAGGTCAACCTATTCTCAGGAGAAGAGGTAACAGACAGAAATAAGTCATGGAGAAATCCAACCTAGAACTAAGGAGAAATTTCCTGACAGTGAGAACAATTGATCGGTGGAAAAGTTTGCCCCCAGAAGTTCTGTTGCTCCATCCCTGGACGTTTCGAAGAAGAGACTGGACAACCATTTGTCTGGAATGGTTTGGTTGGGTCTCACTAGAAAACCTCCAAGGTTTCTTCTACTTCTGTTATTCTGAGAAATGATTTATGGCACAAATCTTAAAAGATGAATTCCCATTTTAACACAAAATATTCCTGTTCAAAATATACTGAATTGCTTCCATACATAATAATGGCTACAGTTATACTATATGCTTCTTACTGGAAAATTGTGGAAGCGTTGGCTAACCAAGTTGTGGATGCTTTGAAGTCTGAAGTAGCGTTGTACCTTAAAAGCAAATTTCACATGCTTCATCTTGAAATCATTCACAGACTATAAACTAGTACATGGATTGGCATGTCCCTGGTGGAGGCTGGCTCTGAGGGAGAGGAGGAACAGCCGACAGGGAGTGGAAGTGTGGCTCCGGAGGTTGTGGAGGAGGCTGGGGAAGGGCAGAGGCCGGCTGGGCAGTCAGAGGAGGACCCAGGCCCATCCCCTCTCCATCCCAGGGCATGCAGGGAGGAGAGGATAAGGGAGAGGCGTGGTCTGCTCAGGAGGAGAGGGCCTTGATCCTCTTCATGGGCTGCAGCTGTGACAACTGGATAAGAGGATGGACATGCTTACGGGAGAGCGCTGGAAACAAAACATGGAAATATCTCTAGTTTATGGTTCCTCTTTTGAGTTTGGCATTCTTCCCAGTGTGTCTTCTGATATCTGTGGAGTCTTCAAGCCTTTATCTTGCCTGGTTTGTGTTTTTTTTCCTCCCTCCTTCTTGTAACTGCATGTGTGGGAGTTTTTTTGTCTTCAGTCAACGATATTTGGAGCTTGGAAGCAAAGTGAAGGAATAAATGGGCTTCAACTGTTTTTTGTGACTGTGTTGGTTTTGTATCCCACCCTGGATCATCACATGGATTGTTATCATACACAAAATTGAGTTTTATGCATACTGCAGAATCTAAATACAATTTTAGCAATATAGACCAAACTCATATAGTATATAGTTCCAATGAATAATTTATACTGTGTTCATCATGGTTCCTCTTATTCATTTTAGCTCAATAGTGATTTTTGTCTTTTAATGTGGTGTGATATTAAACTATTTAAAATGTTATTGATTATATATAGGAAAGGCATAACTTCCACGATGGCCATAATCTCCATAACTATTTAAAATCCCTGGTTTATTTATCCCTGTTATATGTTTCTATTTATGTCACATTCTGTTTTGTACATTTACATAATTCTTGATTGGCCAAGTGTTATTGGACACACAAGGAATTTTTGTCTTTGGTGCATAAGCTTTCAGTGTACATATTATCTTCAAAGTGTACAACAAAAATTAATCTTTTTTCCTTTTTCAATTACATAGCTTCTTTAGTAGCATGTGGAAATGTAGAAATAATATGTCTTGGTTTCAGTAAAGTATTTGATAAAATACTCCATGGCATTATGATTAGCGAGCTAGTTAAATCTTCTCTGGATAAATTTAGGAGACGCATATCTGGCTTGAAATCTTATTTAATAGGTAGCCACGAATTCTCTCCCTCAATCAACGAAAGTGAAGTGCCAAAGTCCAGGACTTTGCACTGGGTCCCACACTCTGTAACATTCCTAATCAAGAGCTATATGAAAAAGTGGAGGGCATGTTGATACAGATAGTCCTTGGATTAACAACAGTTTGTTTAGTGTCCGTGACTTATGATTGTTTTTCAGTTAAGACCTTTGAAGCAGTCCCATGGTTATGTGAACAAACTTCAAATACTTGACAACTGATTCGTATTTATCACCATTGCTGGGTCTCAAAGTCATGTGATCCCTTTTTGTGACCTTCTGGCAAACAAAGTCGATGAGGAAGCCAGAT